TGAGAGATTATCCTTGTTTACCAAATAAGTGAATCTAATTGGATTTGCATTGTAAAGATTTAATAAAAGTTAAAAAGATATATATATATATTTTTTCATATGTTAAATTTTGTTATGATACTCCCAAAATTATTCTGCATAAATAAAATAAATAGTAAAAACATACATGCAGATTTTGCCTAGCCCTATAGGTCAGAATTGTCAATATTCTCACAACACTAAAGTGAGCCACGTAAAAGCAATCTAAACTGTTAAACTGGCACTAAACCAACATCAGATACTGGTTAACCATTTAACCAGGGGTCTCAAAAACAACAGACAAAAAAAAACAACAACAAGTAATTTAGGACACAATTGCCTGAAATAAAAAATGGAGTCCTGCCTGGATGTGGACCTCAGATTGCCTTCTAATGCCTTGTGTTTTTCTCTCCCTCTTGCGTGGCTGGAAGCCTCTTTCAAGAAAGCAGGATAAAGATGGGTAATCCTAAAACCTCTTTGTAATGCTCTCATGTCTCCAAGATCCACTATTTTAATCCTGAAATACACGTTCTGATTCATACAAATCCGGATTGTGCTGCAAACCCAGATACGGTACATGGAGCATGACCGAGGAAAACACTTCTGTTGACCTAGTATGTCAGTAAACAGCTGTGCTAACTAGCATTTAAGACTGGATGAAGGACCACCAAACATGCAGAAGACCCCCAGACATGAATAGGCTAAAATGTAAAAGGCATCCTATAGCTTTATGTGTACTTGATGAGACCAAATTTATAGTCAAAGATGTTCGATATTATAAATGGTTTTAATAGAATATTTTTTCCAAATACATTTATTACTTTTAAAATAATTTCTAGTTTAATTTGTATCAAATTTTGGATCATTTATTTGATCTTAATTTATGTTATAAAGAACATTCACCGGCCACTTTATTAGGTACACTGCACAATCATACGGCAGCAACTCAATGCATTTAGACATGTAGACATGATCAAGACGATCTGCTGCAGTCCAAACAGAGCATCAGAATGGGGAAGAAAGGTGATTTAAGTGACTTTGAACGTGTCATGGTTGTTGATGCCAGACAGGCTGGTCTGAGTATATTGGAAACTGCTGATCTACTGGGATTTTCACGCAGAAACATCTCTAGTGTTGATTTCTGTAGCGATATTCGAATAATAGGGTTAGAATTCGGTATCAACTACATGAAAGCATGGATCCATGGTGTGGGGGATATTTTCTTGCCACACTTTGGGCCCATTAGTACCAATTTAGCATGTTGTCAACGCCACAGCCTACCCGTGTATTGTTGCTCACCATGTCCATCCCTCTATGACAACAGTGTACCCATTTTCGAATGGCTACTTCTAGCAGGATAACGTACCATGTCATACAGCGTGAATCATCTCAGACTGGGTTTTGAACATGTGATGTTCAAATTGAATGGAATGGGAGAGTAAGGAGTACCTAATAAAGTGGCCGGTGAGTGTACATATATCAGGATTTTTTTATGACAACATAAACTTAATTTAATCAAATAAAATTAACAATTTGGTAAATATAAGAATACTTTCAAAAACAATAAAAGTTAATAAAAGACTAGGTATTTATTCATTTAAAATTCATGACCAAGCTTAGTTTTGTATAGTTTGTGTTTTTAATTTTTTTATTTTAATCCATCTAATCATAAATGTATTACTTTAGTTTTCAGTTTTTAGTTTTAGTTAAAATAATTAAATCATAAAAAATAATTGTAAGTTCAAACAAATGGAAACAAGCATTAAACTGGTTTACATTTCATATATACATTATATACATTTCATGTGTTCCAGTTAACATTTATTTTATTTACTTAAAAAATAAAAGTCTTTTTATTTTAGATTTTTTTTTTTAAACAAAACATTCCTCTCGGGTTTTCAGAGAAGGTTCAGGATGAGAGTGCAGGTTGTGACATTCACAGGATTATCCCATTACATCAGTCTGTCTGCAGTCTAAGCATCTTAAACTAAACACCAAACCTGTAAGCAACCTAACTGTGTTTAGCATTCAAGCCACTGTACAGATCTCTAGTTCAGTGTGTGTGTGTGTGTGTGTGTGTGTGTGTGTGTGTGTGTGTGTGAATGCTCCTCTGTGCCACCATTAATCTCTCCATGCTTTGCTTTAGTGGGGTTAAACGCTTCCTCTTCACAGAGTGTCAATTAATGCAGCCGGCGTGTCTGTTTAACAAGACGGCTCAAAAGAGCAGGCCAAAAACAGCAAGGACATAGTGAAGAGGCCCGGCTGACGCTGGAATACCAGAGGGAGACGCGGATATTGACAAAACTAAAGCACAGTTAATGGGAGGGCTGTCCGGGGCCCCTGTGTCTCCTCTGGGCATCTGTGTAGAGAGTCCCCTGAGAGCCCTAAATAACGGGATAGATTGGCAGAGCTACAGCAGACCCACGCAAAGCCAGAGAGAGGTCATTGTCTCAGAGCTCATCAAAGAGATCGGTGGCACGCGTCTGAGTCACTGGAGAACAAGAGAAGGAAGAGCAGAAAGAGAATCTGTACTATTGAAAAAATGCAGGGTTATTTCAAGCCAATTCTGGGTGTAATACAAACTAATCAACCTCTCGTCCTGAACCTTCTCTGAAAACTCGAGAGGAAGGTTTATCAGAAAATAAATAGATTTTAAAATATCTAAACTATATTTTTTTAAACTTTAAATAAAATATTAACTAGAACAAAACACACACACACACACACACACACAAACACACACACACAAACACACACACACACACACATATATACATATATATGTAAAGCATGGAAACATTAATTGTTTCCATTCATTCTAACTTAAAACAAAAATAACTGCAATTCATTCATTTACCCTATTCATCAGGGGTCACCACACTGGAATGAACCGCCAACTTATCCAGCATATATGTTTTACACAGCTGATGCCCATCCAGCTGCCACCCAGCACTGAGAAACATCCATACAGACTCATTCCCACGCACACACACACACACACACAATATGGCCAATTTAGCTTATTCCAGTCACCTATAGACCAATTACCATGTTTGTAAACATTCAGGATGCGCACGCAGGAAGGTGGCAGAAAGCAACCGGGAGCGCTAGCATTTACAGTGAGGGAATGACATCAGATGCGGTGCAGAGTTTGTTGTTGTCTTAGAAATAAGATATATTACTTACATATTATATATATTATTTACATAATGCTTACAGCATATTATAACAGCTCATCACCCAGTGACAAGCACAGTGATGCAGCAAAATTAACGTTAAAGCGAGCGGCGTTCATCTGACAGCTCCATTTGCGATAGCACCCTCCCAATAAATATTGGATAAGACGAAGTGACCGAGCATCCAGCTCAAAATATACAATCTCAATGAAGCTCGAGTGACTTTACAAGAGAGAAGTTAAAGATCTACAAGTCTTTGAATGCCAACAATGTTGTTCTTTGAGGTCATGTGCAATAAATATTGCTCCATGATGACCAGATTCAAGAGCTAAACACAGAGAGACCGCCTAGCCAAAGACAAGGAAACAAGACGGAGCTAACGTTCTACAAGGCCTGGGTAATTAATCACCAACACGCAAAACCACTGCATTCTGACAGTGAACTTCACATGTACGGCAGGGTATGTGTACCTACACATAGAGGTAAAGTTGGTTTTATATTCGCACATTCAGACTTTCTCCTTAATAATATAATTTTATTAAAGTATTATTTGCAAACTCTAAATAGCAAAATCATATTAGCAGCCAATGACTATCAAAGTACAACATTGTTCACAGTCAAATAAACAGTGCTAATGTTGTTTTCAAGTCACACTTGCAGGTTATTTCAGACCGAATATTCAAAGTGCCGTGGTAAACAATATAGGGAGTTTGTCACAAGTTGTCACTGAATGAATGTGTGAATATAAAACCAACTTTACCTTAATAAAAGTAACTTTCACGTTTCGTTATTAGCATTCAGTGTCAGCAGTTTAATTAACCACATGTAACTGTTTTTGCTGAAATCATTTCTGCAATCAAAAACGAGTGATGTGTCTGATTCAGCATAGCGTGAACTGACCTGATATGACATGAGAACTGCAGAGTCCAGCATTTCTAATTAGCTCCTCACTTCATTCAGCTCCCATTTAGCCAAAGACGTCTGCAGTTGGTATTAAAGCAGTGTGTGGTGTATGGTAAAAGTTAAGTTTTCCATTTTTGGACTCGAATTCGGCATCCTACCGCAAAACATTACATCTTTCCCATTGTAGCCTGTCTGTTTTTTGCAACCGGGGACCCGTGTGACGTCATGTGTGACGTAGGTTGGTAATTGGTCAACACCACATGACTTTGGACTGTGCGGGAAACCGGAGCCTCCAGAGGAAAAAACACCAACAAGGGGGTAAACATGCAAACTAAAAAAGTACAAATCCTTTGAAATTCTTCTTCCAGCCTTTGATTAGCATTTAAAAAGAAATTGAAAAAATTTATGCAGGGGATAAGCAATAAATAAGAATAACTTGAGATTAGAAAGTATTTTACAACACTTAGAAATGCAGGGTAATTTCAAATATGGACAAACTCAAACATTAGGTGAAATTTAATAAAAAAATAAATAACCCAGCATTTGGTTTAGCCCGTATTACACCCGGAATTGGTTTGTAATCCAGTATTTTTTTAGAGTGAAAAGAAATTATTCCTAAATATCGGGAAAACAAATCGACACAAAACAGCATAAACAAAACAACTACAAAGCTTTTAAAAATGTTGCATAATTTATAATCCACATCTTGACTCACGTCAAAGATCATTTAAGGCCACAAAGTCTGAAATTCTCTGTTAAGGCTTAGACAAACACATCTTGGATTGTAATGTTCAGTGTATCTCCCTCTAGTGGTTTGTCATGTGAACTGACCTGAATGATTCAGCCGTTATTATCATTACCGTAAATATTCCCAGAGTGTTTGTGTTTATTGGAGTGGCTCACCTTAGCCAGCACATTTATGTACTTCTTCAGTGCAATCAGATCGTCTCCGCTGATGCTGGTGTGACTAGATAACTCCACACGCAGAGAGTAATGAAGCGCTGACTCCAGATCAGACATATACACACGCGACCTGTATCCATAAACACAAGCTCCATGTAGGGTTATTACTGACATTCGGTGCACCATTTAAATCAAAAAGGCCAAATGACATAATAAAGTATTGTTAAATATAGGGAAGCTTGTTTCCACCACAAAATAAAAAATAAAGAAACATTTAAATAAACTAAACCAATTTTTTTTATATCTACTGTTTATATTTTTCCTCAGAATTTTGATTGTGTAATTCAGATTTTTTCATGTGCCACTGTAAAGTTTTTTTTCTACAGATTTCTAAGTTTACACCAAGTCTGACTTTTCAGACTCTTCAGACTGCAAGGTCTGCAAAAATGACTTTTCCCTTTTCACACTTTTGACTTCTCACTCAGAATTTGAAAATTTCACAATTCAGGTCTTTTCCCCAGAAAAATTCATTTCCATCTCATAATTTAAATTCTTTTCTGCATTTCTATTTTACTTGTACCCTTAAATTCAGATTTTCCATCTCACAATTCAGACTTTAGGCGGCGCAGTGGGTAGCGCTGTCACCTCATAACAAGAAGGTCGCTGGTTTGAGTCCCGGCTGGGTCAGTTGGCATTTCTGTGTGGAGTTTGCATGTTCTCCCCATGTTGGCATGGGTTTCCTCAGGGTGTGGAGGAATGCGCTATAGGTGAATCGGGTAAGCTAAATTGTCTGGCAGTTCATTCCGGTGTGGCGACCCCAAATTAATAAAGGGAATAAGCAGAAAATAAAATGAATGAATAAATGAATGAATGAATGAATGAATTAATTAATTGATTTATTTAAAAAAATTAAGATTTTTCCCATATTTCTGAGATTTCTGAGTGGAGCTGTGGATTTGTTCTTCAGTGTTTGGACTTTCCACAGTGAAAATAAACCACACTTAACCTAAACTAAACTGAACTTCATCTCTAAAATCTGTATTTTACTAGAACTGTGTTAAGTGACACAATCTACATTGTGAAAGCGCTATAGAAATAAACATGAATTGAATTAAAAATCTTGCAATTATTTTTTTCAGAAAAAAAAGCCAGATTCTAATCACATAACTGATTACATCACATAACACATAACTGAATTTATCCCCCACAAATCAAAACTGTAAAACTCTAACTCCAACCCCAAACTGGAAAAAATAAAGAAAGAATCATGAGAAACAAACTTTCATGCAGAATGCTTTAACGATATTCTATCACTATTGTAGAAAACCATACATTATAGAACTTGTAAATGATACTTTGACTGATAAAAGTTTAAGTATTCAAAATATTAAAAGTTCAAAATATTTCAAAGACCGATTCTTTTAATTTTTAGCTTCTTACAATTACAGTTTAATATTTAGCATCCTATAACATTTGTGCATTTATCCAGACACTATAAATAATTGTTGTATTTAAGTTAAGCACTAATATCAGAGCTGTCAAACAATTTATCATATCCAAAATTAAAGTTTGCATTTAAATAAATGTGTGTGTAGTCACTGTGTATAAATAATGTGTATATATAATTAAAACTATTTATTAAAAAAAAAAATATATATATATATACATATATATATATATATATATATATATATATATAAAACTTTGTATTAGACATAAATATTTAAATTATAAATAAAAACAAGCCTTTTCTCAAATATATACATGTATTTATACATATACAATATAAATATCTACAGTACATACATACTTACAATGTAAATAAATTTTTTTATGTGATTAATCACAATTAATCTACTGACAGCAATAAGTAATATGTAAAGCATGTCTAAAAATTAAAAAATATTATTATTGGTTGATAAAGTATGCACTAACTTGTTAAATGGCCTCCATTCCTGCAGAGTGGAGTTCTTGATGAGTTCAGTGATGGGAGTTTGGTGTTTTCCAGTCCGCACTACTCCTGGCAGCCTCTGGAGGGCGTACGAGTAGAAGGTTCGAGCTTCTTTGAGTCTGAAAAAGAAAAAAAAGAAAGAATAAGGGCCACATAACCACTAACACGACCTCAAGTATGTGAAAACAAGTATGTGGAGTGGATGTCAGTGGTTGCCAGACTCCAAATAAGCTCAGAGTCCATGTTTATAGAGCTGCTGCTTGCTGAATCAGCTCAGTTTGGGACAGGGATTAAGAGGAGTTAAAGGTTAAGGCTAGAGCCAGAGGCAGTCATTCTATGTGCAAATATATACTACACTGTTATACAGTATGCAAAATGCAGTTCATCAAATGAGTAGAGCTTGCACTCTTAAAACATCGGGTGAAAAATGAACTAGTGCATCAGATGTGACAGCGATTATCATAATAGATTTCAAATTTGGCATTACTTTATTACAATTTTATAAACAAATAATCAAAGACACATGCTCAACAACACTAAAGGCTATTTGCTTGGCAAGAAACAGCTCCTAAAGTACTGTACAAAACAATATATAAATCATTCAATCAGATTTAGTTGAAATTTTAAAATGTCTCCATTTTAATAGACCCAGATTTTTTTTTGTAAAACAAGCTTAATAGACAAATAGAGTGGCAAGGTGATTCTTACAGTGTATATTTTCTGCTAAATCACATACTTAAATTTACACAATAAAAAAAAAGTATTTTTATAGGTTTGTTCACTTTATTTGATCAAAAATACAGCAAAAACTATTTTTGTAATTTTTTTTAAAAATATAAACAACATTTTGTGGTATATTATTTCAATTAAAATACACACCCTTGCTGAATGAAAGTATTGATTTTTAAAAATTGGGATTACAGTAGGGCTAGGCTATTAATCGAATAGTAATCAAAATCATCATTGCGAACCAATAATCGATCAAATTTTTCCAATTACTTACCTGACCTCATGTGGAGTCACGTGACCCTGCTCTGTTTGTTACTATTGTGTTACTATGCACCACAATGACGATGGTTGGAAGCTGTGCCACAGATTCCATGAGACGACATATTTTCCATTACATCAAAATTATTATTTAAATTAAAATATTTGTTTACAGAAGATGCAAGAAATGCACCATTTAAATTATTATTTACAGGATATGCAAGAGTTATTTAGAAGAGATACTGCTTGTTTTCTATTATTTAAAATCAAAAACATTGAAAATAATTGCTTTTATTTTCAAAAGCACAAGTTATTCATTTTTTCTTTTTTATAAAAAACAGTGACTGTTCATTTTAGCCAGTGTGTGTTTAATTTCAGATGTTTTACTGTGATGTTCAATAAATAATCAAAGATAGTAGATAGTGTGTGTTTTCTTTAATTATTTTAAAATCAAGTAATGCACCCTTCATTTAGAAATCTCTGTCTTGTAATATGTGAGCACATTTACTGTACAAAACCTGAGGGCAAAAAATAAATAAATGAAATAACCGTTCATTAATCTTAATCGAGTTAAAATGTTCAATAATTCAAGATTTTGATTTTAGGCCAAATCGCCCAGCACATTAGTGAACTACATTACAGATAAGATTCAAAAATCTTTAGTTTTTATTAATAATGTTACCATGAATTTAAACATTAAAAACACCTCTTTATTTTAATAATATATGAGACAATACTATTTAACAGAACTGGGATGAGACGAACATCTGTATATTTATTATAACAAACAAATATTAATCAATATTAACAAATAATTTGCTCTTTAATTGCTATTGATTATATAAACTAGTGCTGGACAAAGATTATTCGCATTCAAAATAATAATAATCATATATATAGTTTAAAACATTAAACGGTGCCTTTAATTTAGAAATAAAACCTTGTGTTGAATTAGCTATTTGTGGTGTACCAGAGCACAAAATATCATTGACAAACAAAGAAAAAAATGTTATCGCCTTTGCTACTTTGTTAGCAAAGAGAAGAATACTAATTGAGTAGAAATCAGCAGCTTTATCTAAAGCTTCAATGTGAATGTGTGATCTGATTTTATATTTGAAATGAGAGAAAATTTCATTTTTAATGAAAGAATCTGTCCAAAAAAAAATGTACGAGACATGACAACCTATTATCACATTTTTTGAAAAAAAAAATAATGAAGACTCCCTTTTAACGGATTTATATAAAGAAATCTGTTCAAACAGGTTTAAATGTGATGACCAATATGGTTTGGTTTATTGATTAGGTAATTATTTATTTGAATTATTTTCACAATTGATATTGTATAACTGTAAATGTATACAATACTGTAAAGTTTATTTTTAATTTATAATTTTTAATTTTTGAATTCACACACACACACACACACACACGCACACGCACACGCACACGCACACGCACACGCACACGCACACGCACACGCACACGCACACAAAGCAAGATATAAATATATAAACAATTTTGCTACATAGATATTAAAATTTGTATCATATGCACATATATTTTACATGTAAATATAAAGAAAAGCATTTTGTCTAATAAACATGCATGCCTGTGTGTAAAATGTATGTTTATATAGTTATATTGATGTTTATATAATAAACATACACAGTACACACACTTTAATTATGTCAAAACAAACTTTGGATGTGATTAATCTTTGTCCAGCGCTAGTATTAATCATTGTTAACTGATGAACAAATGAACTTTATCTTACTATTTGTTTTTAAACACTCCTACTAGTCAACTTCTATTTTACGTTTTAATAAGTGACTGTAGATGACTGAGACAAAACGAAGAAAAAAAAATGACATCGTAATTAAAACCCTTCTAAAGAATTCTTGAAAATAATATTTAATACAATAATAGTCACGTCTTCCTCCTCAAAAAACTGAAATATGCCTAGGAATGCAGTGTGGCTGATAAGTATGCTTACTCCTACATCTCTCTTCTGCTGTTTTCCACCATCATCCATTAACCTCTCTCTCTCTCTCTCTCTCTCTCTCTCTCTCTCTCTCTCTCCTCAGATGAACAGATGGTAGGTGTGTCACACTGATGAGATGTCATTACTGATCATTACCCTCTCCGATAACCCTGGCAATCAAACAATAAACACCACTGCGCCTTTCTGAGTCTCCAGCACATGCAGACACACAGTCTCTCATCTACCCAAGCTTCAATCAACCCTCTTCAGAGACACACGACCAAGCCGGATGTCCCTTGGGTCTGATGGCACGCTTCTGAAACCAGGAGATCCAAAAGATAGCGAGCGCGTGTTTATTTTTATTTTTTGTGTGTGCATGCAACACAAGATCAATCACGCATTCAGACCTGACGGCGCGCCATCTGTTGCTCTGCAGTGCTGGGACTGTTTGGCAGGTGAAGCGCAGAAAAAAAGCACTATTGTTTTGGAGTAGAAGATTAAAACCCCCCTTAACACACACGCGTGCACTATCGAGGAGGATAGAAACAACATAAAACGACCATAAATCATTGCTCTTTAGCATTTGTCATCTAAAAAGCCCCACACCCGTGCCAAGTTATTTTTCTCAAATAAGCATAACAAAAGCAAGCAAACCTCTGATTTATGCTCCCGGTTAGAAATGATTATGAAAGCTCTGTGATCTTGAATAATTGTGCATATTCAAATGCTGTTGTCTCATTAACGTGGCCAGATGTTTCTACTGCAGTTGCTAATCATTGTAAAAGTGAAAAGAAGGAATCAGGTAAATGGTAAATGCTTTTATTATCGAACAGCGTAAAGCTCTCGCTCATGTTAATGTACTCTGAAAGAGAGATTGAAGGGGAAGCATGTTATTTTGGAGCCTCCAGTGTTCTGATTTTATTTATTTTTTTCAATTGTTTTGATCAAAAGCAGGACAAAATCAAGATGTCAGGCTTCTAAAAAAGTCCTTGCACATCTCGCCTCAAAAAGGCACAATCTGATGTAAAATTTTGTTCCATAAGATAACAGGGTTTCTGTAGGTTTCAACAAGTTAAATTTAAGACTTAAAGATGTTTTTAAGACCATTGTGAATGAAATTTTTGATTTATACAGGGCTAAATGCTTAGGATTTTTTTATATCCCAGTTGGAAAAGATTTTTACTTGCCCTATCAAAAAATCATTATAATATAATACATTTATTAATACAATAATAACAATAATTTAATAATAAACAATATCCAGGTCAGTATCCTTAGCAGTAAATAAATGGAGAACGTTTAAACAAATGTTACTGTAAGGAAAGTAATATGGTAAATAGAGTCAAAAATTTATTGAGATGGATTGTAGGTGATTGTACGAGTGGTAATGGACAGATTGAGCAGCTATATATATATATATACATACATATATACACACACATATATATATATATATATATATACACACACACATATATATATATATATATATATATATATATATATATATATATATATATATATATACACACACACATATATATATATATATATATATATATATATATATATATATATATATATATATATACACACACACACACACACACACACACACACATATATATATATATATATATATATATATATATATATATATATATATACATATACATATACATATACATGTATATATATACATATACATGTATATATATTCTCACACACACGTCAGATTTTTCCAATATCGCGCAACGCTTATATAAATCATTCAATTTAAGTTTGTAGAAATTTTGAAACGTCTCTATTTTAACAAACTGAGAGCTTTTGTTTTGAAACATTTTTTTATTTTAAAATAAGCCTAATAGACTTAAATTGAGTCTATTAATTCATATATCAGTTTAATAATTTTTCAGGGTAAGTCTTGTCAGGATTTTCTCAAATTGTTATGAACCCAGATATTAAGTCGATCTAAGCGAAGACATTTCTGTCCCTCCGATGAAAGTCACCCATAACAAATGTTCATTATGAGAGAAAAAAAGGAAACCATTTTAAATGAGTCTTCTGAACTAACACAACACAACAAATGTATTTAAAAGCTTTTAATTGACTATCAATCATCATCAAACAATATTTACAGCATTCAAACTTGGTCAAGAAAGCTGAACCATGCTTGCTTGATGTGTGAGAACCAATGAGGATCATTCTTGCATGTTTGAGGTTCAGCAAGAACAAATAATATATTGTATGTTATCATGCATCAAGAAGATATGATTAAGCTTTTGTTTGTGTTTGCTGGTCAAATGTTTAAATGTGAATAAACGCCTATATTGAATCTGTTTATATGATTTAAACAAGGTGTGTCTTCAGAGGACTTAGATTTAACAGCTTCATATGACTTTATTTTTGCTCTCTTTAGAATTGCTTTAAGGCAGGGGTCACCAATCTCGGTCCTGGAGGGCCGGTGTCCCTGCAGGGTTTAGCTCCAACTTGCCTCAACACACCTGCCTGGATGTTTCAAGTATACCTAGTATGACCTTGATCAGCTTGTTCAGGTGTGTTTGACTAGGTTTGGAGATAAAATCTGCTGGACATCGGCCCTCCAGGAACAAGTTTGGTGACCACTGCTTTAAGGCAAGGGTCATCAAACTTGTTCCTGAGGGCTAGTGTCCTGCAGAGTTTAGCTCCACCTCTAATCAAGCAAACCCACCTGAACAAGCTAATCAAGGTCTTACTAGGTAGGTATACTTGAAACTTCCAGACAGGTGTGTTGCGGCTTGGAGTTACACTCTGCAGGGTCATTGGCGACCCCTGCTTTAAAGCATCAGTGATTTGGGTAAACAGACCTTGAGTTTAGGAAAAAATGAGGGTGAGTACAAAGCTATGCGAAGCGTCAAGATGCGCATCCATTTTTAAAATGCGCATAAAAAATATAGGAGCAAAACTGAGTAGGATAAGAAGAAATGTGCATGAACTACAATGAAAACACTTTTACCAAACAAATTACAGTATGCGCATTTTTTAAAAAAAAGGTAATTCTGTCCTTACTTTCAAAATTTGGCAGTTAATCAGGAAGTGATGATTTTATTCTCTTTGACTCATTGTATGGAAACGCTGCTTTATTTGCAGGTCTTTGATATTCCAGTTTTGCACATACATTTAATTAGCATTGATGGATGGAAACATAGTAAGGCTCTGGGATTTGGCCTAAAATCGAAATCTTGATTAATTGAACATTTTTACTTGATTAAGGTTAATGAACGATTATTTTATTTATTTATTTCACGTTTTTTGTCGTCAGAGTTCACAGACAGGTTTTGTACAGTAAATATGCTCACATGTTAAGTGAGAGATTTCTGAATGAAAGGTGCATTCCTTGATTTTAAAAGGATTGAAGTAAACACACACTATCTATAATCTAGGATTATTTATTGAACATCAACGCTGAACAACTGAAATTAAAACACACATAGCCTAAAACGCGGCTTTCCATGCTGCCCACCACCACTACCAAATCTAACAATCACAAAGCTTGTGCAATGTGTCTTTGTGACGTGTAGTTAAATTTTTTGGAGAGGTGTGCGGGTATGCAAAGGCTGAGCCGGACTACAGCCTGCGCTTGGCAGAAGTATAATATCAGAATAATATAATAATATAAGAAGTATAAATCTGCCTTAACAGAGCAGGGTCACTTGATTACAGTAGGGAAAGTAATTGAAAGGGTCTGAATGTCAATTTCGATTACTTTTCGTTTAATCGTCCAGCCCGAAAACATAGCCAATGATAACAGAATCAGCATTTTGTGGCAAACTAACCTGTTTTTTTTAAGATAAGGCTGAACATCAGTCTTTTAACAATCAATCATGATTAATACTTATTAATACCTGTAATACTTTTTAAACAAAAAATGTTGTACTAAAAATGTCAATGACATCAGTTTGAAGTTTTATATCTGCTGTAGGACTGTATGAATGGAAAAACTTACACTTTTAGCCTAGTGATGTTTCCAGAGGAGTCGTAGAGATAACAGGAAGGAAATTCAGTCACACCAAACCTGGACACCAAATTCGTCTCTGTGTCCAAAACCCTGCGCACAGCTATATTTTCATACTGCAACAAGTCCAATGTTACCTAAAAAAACAAAAAACAAATTAAATACATATTTTGTACAGAAAAATCATAATCAACAAAAAAAATTAAATTTAACAAAATAACATAATTAACATAATATATAAATAAAAAAACAACAACATAAATTTCAAATTTTGAAAAGATGATTGGAAGAAATGCGTTCCATGCAAAATAATTCAAGCTTGGTGCATAAATTAGGAAATTTACATTTTTTTTTTGTGTGAATTATTTCTCTAAATCAGCATTATGCAAATTGATCTCACCTCTCTTCCCACGTAAGACTTTTTATTCTCAAACACGAGAGCAAGATACTTCACATTGTTGGCCGGAAAGAAGTGGTGTACCTCTGCCTCACTGGGGAGAGAAAATTAATTAGATTCAAATAAGTTAATAAAATAAGTTAACAAAATCAATTAAACCAGTGTATAATAACAATAATTAAGCTTCTTTATTCATATCCTAAATACATCTGAGCGAGTCTTGAACTAAAAATATGTCTACTTAACTTTAACCGTTTAAGTTTAACTGTAACAAAATAGTTATTAGTCTAATGATTCTAAAATTTGAAACCAATCAAATACTTAAACTACAGTCCAACGTACTTTAGACATTTCTGTGCTTTTTAATCGCCTCTTTTATTTCCTGCCATGTTTTGTCAGACGCCTTTGAATGCAGAAATAAGAGTGATACACATCAAAGTTTTGGCGTGTCCTTTTCCTTCCTTGTTTGAGCGACCTTTTGAACACAGCAATGTTGACTAAAAGCACACAAAACTGACACGCTTACTGACTGCAACAAGCAATGCTATTTACACTACAGCACTGTTAAATCAACAGAAAGATGACATGGGTCTAGCTCCTTACATTTCTCAGTGCAAATATAAAAGGAAAGAAAGACATGGCATTCTAACCTAGCCGTCTCTAAAGGTGGACAAGCCGGCGGCCAAGCCTCGGTATGTAGCTCCAAATTCTCAATAATGTATTGGCGAAGTCCTCTCACATCCCTTGAAAATCCTGTGTGAATGTTGAAAACAAGCTCATTCATAGAAAAAGGCAAAGTCGATACATATAAGATCTTGATTAGAAGACTAAAGTAAGAGTGGGTATTTAAAGGCAGAGTTCATCCAAAAGCTACAGTTATGACAGAAGGGATGCTTCTCATACAAAAAGATGAATTCATAACAGGGCTGTGTGATATGGCAAAAATGCTATCTCGATAATTATTGTCCATATTTAACGATAATGATATATATTTTAATATAAGTTTGTTAATGCTTGCATATTTAAAAGAGTACCTAAAAATGACTGAAGCCACAAAAATTAGAGGATTCATTAATAACGTACCATATTTTCAGCTGATAAATTTTTGGTGGCTAAAAATTCAGTGCATCTCTAATATCAACACACTTCTAAATTCCCATCGCTGTACATTTCTACTGTGTGATTGGCTTTTGAATCAATATAGAGTTCAATCGTCCAGAGCTTATCATTGTTATTGACATTAATTTTATCGCGATTAAATATAATACCGTTTATCGGCCCAGCCCTACTTCATAATAAGTATTATGGTAAGTAGTATTATGGCTCATAATAAGGATTATTTTAAAGATTATTTGAGATGAAGTTGTTCTATAAATAATTTAAATTTGTCACTTTGTCCTTGAAGTAGGGTTATAAATGTTCAGTAATGATTTTGAGATATACTATATTGAGAGATTTTTTTTAAATATATATTATAATGGTTGTTTATTTTTAAGAAGTCAAGTAAAAAATGAACCTTTAAATTTTGGTATTTTCAAATACAACACTTTAAACAAACATTTAAAGCTAAAAATGGCTGAGGTTGAGATTATTTTCTCTCTTTGCTTTTACGCTGCACTGTAAAACCCAACAGTCAACTTTATCAAATAAAATGAGTGTAGTTAACTTGAAATTGACTGAAAGTTAATTCTACTCATTTGAAAAGAGCTTTGAACTCAGTGTTGAGTTGGTAATGACTTTATTAAATCCTTCATTACTTCAACTTAAATGGAGTAAGTTTACAGTACTCATATGGATTAGTTTTTTACTGAAATGGTTTATAACAATGTGTTTGCTTAAACGGGTTGAATTACCTTAACTTTTTAGGTTTTACGGTGTGTAAATAAGGAAAAAAAAGTCACTGTGGTCTCACAATCAACTAAATTAAATTAACTATACCCAATGAGTTATTGAGTTTGACTACATGTGCAATTTATCTTTTTTGCCCAATCCTCGAACACCCTCTCCCTGGTCTGTTTCGTCTGAACAAGGTTAATACACTCCTTTTCTTCCCTTTAAATTTTTATGAGCACACTCAACTTTTTAAAGTATCAAAAATATTTAGAAAATATAAAGTGACAGGTATGAAATAACACAAGGTATGCAGTCAATAAAGATAAAAAAAATCTATGGGTTTTTTTTTTTGTTGTAAACATGTGCAATATAGTTTGAAATTAAATCTTTTTATTTGTATTATATGGGATTTTTATTAACCCTTTAATTGCCCCACTAAGAAAAACACTTTTGAATAGCATTCCTTAACTCCTAGTGTCGTTAGTTAACACAATCAATGCATTTTTTCCCAACACATTACAAAATTTCTAGAATATCAACCTCTACCAAATGTTTGATATGTCGGATTATAGTAAAAGTACCAGACTTAATACATGTACTATAAAAATCTAAAAAATATGAAGTGTAAGACCGTTTTTTAAAATAATCAAAATAAATCTATTTTTATTACTAAATCACCTTTATTTTTTGAAGTATGCCATAAAATATTTTAGATTCTCATTTAACACAATTTTATTCAAGTGTAGTAGTGTAACAGGATTTTGTTTGATGTTTTTGTAAACCATCAGTGCTGTGTGTGTAAACCATTATTTAAAACAGTCATTCTTTAAATTACTTTACCAGTCATTATTTAAAATGGTCAAAATATGGTCAACCATTCGGCAGAGCAGGCAGTTACAGTAAATGGTTAGTCGATAGTTAATTTATTTTGCCGACTGGACTTTCAGGTAATTTGTCTGGATAATCTAATGTTAATATCAAATAATACATGGATAAATAATACAAATCCTTTGCTTTCATAGCTTCTAACTGCTTTCTAACAAGCTTCATCATGAAGTCTATGCATTTTGAACTCTTAAAGGGATAGTTTATACAAAAATCTAAATCAGTTAACTAGTTGTGAGTTGTTTTTTTTATACACAAAAATAGATATTCTACAGAAAGTGGAATCCACAATAGGAAAACAAAAGTGCTATGGACATGAATGGTTACAGACCTCCAACAGCCTTAAGAATATTATTTTTTGTTAAAAGAACAAGTCAAGGGTGAGTAAATTAAATAGTTTTCAGGGTTTTTTTTTTTCCGTTTTTGGAACGCGTGTTGTGCAATATAGTCAAAAAAATACACTTCTATATCTTTTGTAACCGATTTCAACAATGATTAAGCAAAATAATAGAAAATCTACTGCTTTCATAACTTGAATTAAAGAAGCTTCTAACTGCATTCTAATAGGCTTTACCACAAAGTCGGTGCTTTTGGACTCTTAAAGAGATAGTTCACCCAAATATGAAAAATAGTTCATCTTTTTCACACACTTGACTTGTTCCAAACAGGTTCTGTTGAACAAAACAATATATTCTGAAGAATGTCGAAAATCATAGTAGGAAAAGCAAATAAAACTGAAGTCAATGGTTCCCGGTTTTCAACATTCTTCAGAATTGACTTTGGATGGATACATCTTTTTTGTTATTGTTGTGATGTTTTTAAAAAATGAGTGAAGTACGTGACAATGTCAGCTAATTTTATTTCAAATTAAATGAATTAAAACATCAACAATAAATATAGACAATAAATATTGCACTACCTGAGTAGCATAAGTAAACTACATTCATTCATCAGTAAATAGTTTCTTCAAGGACACTAAAAATAAAGATAAAAGCAACATGTTTACCTCTGACCTCAAGCCCCCTGGACCCAATGCTTGAATAAGCATGGAAAAACTGAGGAAGACAGAAAGAGAACAATAAATGTGCTATACTTGAGACATAAACACCAGCTTCATCCCCACAGAGCCTCACTGACAGCTTTAGTCAACAGCTCCTCCTTTTACCTCCCTTAAAATTCATCAAAGCATTGGAAGAATTTCACTCGGTTCCTTCTGAAGAATGACCACTTTATTTTATGAGGCAAGAACTCAAAACTTTACTAACAAAATCCAGACATAAAATACCAAAACAGTAAAAGAACATAGAGTGGTGAATTTCAAGATGTTTCCCTGAAGAAAAGATGATAAATAAGGGACTGGAAAAACAGCTGAATGTTTATATGGAGAACAGACAAAGAACTGACAGATTCAGTTTCATCGGTTCGTCCTTCTGGCTTCAGCGCAGCCTATACCCATAGTGCATGACTGAACAAAGAACAGTTATTCAAGACTAAATTGGACTCATCTGTGTGGAAAAGTCCAACTACTGCACTCTTCATGACACATAAGCAGAATGAATTTCTGTGCAAACCATTTGTCTGAGGCAGCGGTAATTTACATTTACACACAATTTCTGCTTTTGTCTCATAAAAATGCATGAGTAAATGCAGTCTACAATTTCAAAGAAGATTTCATCACCTCTTCATTTACATTTGTTATCAGTTAGAGTACACATAGACATTTGTTAATAGATAACAATAAAACTTTATGTTAACTTCTCGTAAATGCAAATTTCTAATCAGCCAATCACATGGCAGCAACTCAATGCATTTAGGCGTGTAGACATGGTCAAGACGATCTGCTGCAGTACAAACTGAGCATCAGAATGGGGAAGAAAGGTGATTAAGGAGACTCCGTATATGGCATCATTGTTGGTGCCAGATGGGCTGGTCTGAGTACTTCAAAAACCGCTGATCAACTAAAGATTTTCACGCACAACCATCTCTAGGGTTTATAGAGAATGGTCCAAAATAAAGAAAATATCCAGTGAGAAGCAGTTCTGTGGATGCAAATGCTTTGTTGATGCCACACAGCCTTACCAAAATTTAACAATAGAAGACTGGAAAAACATTGCTTGGTCTGATGAGTCTCGATTTCTGCTGCTACATTCGGATGATCGGGTCAGAATTTGGCATCAACAACATGAAAGCTAAATCCATCCTGCCTTGTATCACCTGTTCAGGCTGGTGGTGGTGGAGTAATGGTGTGGGGGATATTTTCTTGGCACACTTTGGCACACTTGGCACACTAGTAAAAATTGAGCATATAGTGTCAACGACACAACCTACCTGAGTACTGTTGCTGACCATGTCCATCCCCTTATGACCACCGTGTAGCCATCTTCTGATGGCTACTTCCAGCAGGATAATGCACTACATCAGTGATCTCAGACTGGTTTCTTAAACATGACAATGAGTTCTCTGTACTCAAATGGCCTCCACACTCACCAGAACTCAGACCAATAGAGCACCTTTGGGATATGTTTAAACGGAAAATTCGCACCATGGATGTGCAGCCAACAAATCTGCTGCAACTGTGGAAAATCTCTGAGTAATATTTGCAGTACCTTTTTGAATGTATGCCTCAAAGGATTAAGGCATATCTGAAGGCAAAAGGGGTCCAACATGGTACTACTAAGGTGTACTTAATAAAGTGGCCAGTGAGTGTATGTAGCTAGCTTGCTTTCAGTTCAAAATATATTTTATTTACATTTCAGCTTGATCTTGAACGTTTTATTTATTCATTCAATTATTTCTTTTCGGATTAGTTCCTTATCAATCAGGGGTCACCACAGAGGAATGAACCGCCAACTTACCCAGCATATGTTTTACGCAGCGGATGTCCTTCCAGCTGCAACCCATCATTGCGTGTTTTAATCATAGTTGTATAAAAATCTACATTTTGGAAAGTTTGGGCAAGCTTTTGTTTCTTTGTGTGATTTGTGTGCCTGCCAAGTCAAGCTGAATTATTTGTAGCAATTACAGTACTTTTCATTGTCACATGACTATTAAAAAAAAATAAAAAAATCTACCTAAAATGCTGATATGGCGCTCAATAAACATTTCTTTACAATGCTAAAAACATTTGTGATACTTCAGCTTTTTGTAAAATATGTGACTTTGTTACGAACCCTTTTTATATCAAAACTAATTAATTCATAAAGGGAAACATGGTTTGCTTCTTAGGAGGGGGAGTCTCCGTATCATAAAGGGATAATTCACCTAAAAATGAAAATGTACTCTTATTTACTCAACCTCCAAACCTTTATGAGTTTCCTTTCTCTGTTGACTCAAAATGAGACATTTTGAAGCCAGCAACCATTGATTTTCAAAGAAGAAAAAATAAATACTAAGCAAGTTAATAATTACCGGTTTTATCATTTTGTTTTTGTTCAATTGTTTTTTGTTTTTTCGAAACTCAGGTTTGTGAACAGAACTTTAATTTATGGATGACCTGTTCCCTTAATCAGAATCTATAATAACAAAGAAACATTCAAAACACTTGTGGGTGTTAATACAGGACAACAAATGTTAAAATGTGAACTATAAACAACCAAAACAACAGATAGAGTTGCACAGTTTTTAAATAAGACACCCTACCTTAATAGACGGATATCCGGTGATGCCAAAATTGGTGCACACTTTTCTGTTGCTTTCATTAGCACAATCGATAGCAGCCAGATCCACAGCAGGCTTCCATTCTAAATCAGCAACAAAACAGTTACGAAACTGAATCAATGACCTGAATGGGGTCAACAGTGTTTGTGCAAATCAATTTCGGCATCATGGTTTTAAAAAGCCAATGAAATGACATGTCAAGTTTAAAGGCGCTGTTTGTCTGGCAAAACAAAAACATCACGTCTGTCTGTAAATTGTCACTGCCATGTCAAAGAGCGTCTGGTTCAATATGAACAAGCTAAAGTTTGTTTCTAATCAACCTTGCATTCACAATCACAACATTTGCTCCAATAACCTTTGGCAAAGGGGACTTCCAGGTGTCTAAAGACTCAGCAACAAAGCTTTTTTTGATGAAAAGTCAACCTACATCTTCAAAACCTCAAATCTAGAGCAACATATGTAGAAAACATATGCATGCCCTTTAATGTGGTGGTGTTTGATAACCTAAATGAGTAACCTACATTTCAGAAGGAGCCCCGTAAAGAGTGAAATAGACAGCTCAGTAGATCATTAAGCATGCTTAATAGGTAAAAAGCTGACTAGGAGCGTCTTTACACACTTACGGCTTTGTGCCTGCTCAAAATCCAGTGTAAGGTAAATGTTTTGCCTGTTCAGACTCACCTCAACTCCATTGTAACAATAAACAGTTGTAATTGCTGTGTATAAATCATTCCACTCTGAGCAGAATTAAACCGGCTAACCTGAGAAGTGCCACCTTTGCCACTACTTTGTGGTTAATTACATATGGTTTATTTTGAGACCTATGAGAAATTTACACTGTAAAGGCGACACATAAACAATTATGAAGTGACATTTAGCTGTCTTCGGAAAGACTAGCTAATGCTGCTCAGATTGGTGTCATAAATATATTAACAAAGCAATTAGAAATGCATACTTTGATTCTAGAGGCTGAGGTGTCTAGATCATGCATAGTTTAGTCTACGCTTTTATGCAGCTTTGATTTACATTGTAATCAAATTCAAAGATTTAGGGCTGCTCTGTGCCTGCTTAAAGTTCAAGGTAAATGGACAGCTTAGTTTTGTAAATGTATGCCACCTCTGAGCAGCATTTAAGTATTGGGTCACCCAAAAATTAAAACTTGGTTATTAATTACTCACCCTCATGTCATTTCAATCAACTGGGACATCGTACATCATCAAAACACAAATTAAGATATTTTAGATGAAATCCAAATTGAAGTAAAATTTGTTGTAGCCTATATTCACATATTGTTCAGTGACAACTTGTGATATGCTCCCTATATTGTTTACCATGGTACTTTGAATATTCGTCAAAAAATGCAACAATTACTTTCTTCATCTATGTCTTCCACATCAGGTCAGGGTGCGCATTTCCTATTAGCAATACAGTGACTCTAGTGACTTAAATACATCGTACTACCCATAGTAAATGAAGAAGATAAAGGTAAACAGTTATATTTACAGTTTTTCAATATTTCCAAAGTAATTTTTACAGTTTATTGGCACACAAAAGTGTTCATGAAGCTTCATATAACCACTGAAGTCCCATGAAATGTTTTGACTGTTTCTGGTACTTTGAAAACCTCTGAATTGTTGGGGTCGATGGAGGATGGGGAAGCTCTCGGATTTTATCTATGATATCTTAATTTGTGTTCTGAAGATGAACGAAGGTCTCAGACCGACATGAGGATGAGTAATTACAGAACAAAACCTTCATTTTTGGGTGAAACAACCCTTTAAATTGTTTGTGTGAGATGTATACTTTGACAATAGAGGCTTAGATGATTCAAGAAGGCGAGGCTTTAATTTCTGTACACAGAACTGATTATGAAGAACAATGATGCTTTAAAGGGCACCTATTTACCCCTTTTTTCAAGATTTAGGATTAGTCTTTTGTGTCTACAGAATGTGTCTGTAAAGTTTCAGCTCAAAACGCCCATCAGATTATTTATTATTCATTTCAGAATATTGAATTTTTCTGCTTTGAACATAATGTAGCTGTTTTTGTTGCCTGTGCCTTTAATGCTGGTTCTCCCCACCCACCGTTCCCATGTGCCTGTCAGAGTGTGCCTCAATCTCCACCTCGGCTGCGTCCGATAAACAGCACAGTGACAGACATGAAGTAGAAGCAGATCTCAACTTTTCCAATGATTATTTTATGTATTTGTTGTAGAGTTAACTCAAGCCTTTCTGCGGCTATGAGTCACACACAATGCTGTTACAAATTTCATGTGCACACACAAAGACAGCAGACGCACACACGCGTTTAACTTTGCACTGTTTTTGCACGGCAAATGTGACAGGATACATGTTAAAATCCACTGTTGTATGGATATGTCATGTTAATGTACAAAATAAACCTGATTTAACGTCCACAAACCGGGCTTGAAGAGTCTTTTTTTATAATTGTTCTGACATGCGGCTGTGATGATAAAGATGGTAAAAATCGCTTTAAACTTTCGTTTTAAAAACGTTTTAAACTTGTGAAACTCATTCTTGATCACATTTGATGATAACTGATTATCACAGAGAGCTGAACAGATCTTTTAATACTGGTGGTTTTGTGCACGCCCTGTGTTGTTGATATGATTATATGCATTACTATGGAGACATGTTAATACACAGCTGTCAATCAAATTGGTGGGCAGAAAAAGCGCTCATTGCGATCTGCCTCAAAGTGGGAGGGATTTGGATCCTATTTTAACGTCAGAAAATTAAAAAAGAGAGACTTATTGTCTTCATATCACTCCAATATGACTGTGGACACACTATGCACACAGTTCTGTCCAACAGCTTACAAAAGATGATTTTCTTCATAGATGTCCTTCAATTAAATGAGGTTTGCACCTGTCCATTGTCCACTAATCATACTGAAGGTGTCTTTACACAGTTAAGGCTGCAATGAGTCTGCTTAAAATCCAATGTCACAATTATGCCACATAGCTTATGCCTGCTCTGAACCACAAGATTAAAATAATAATGTCACCTTTAAGCAGCAAACGCCTAATGAAAATTGCACTAAGGAAATATGCCACCTTTGCAATGGTAATTTTACCAAATTTGTCAATAAACTAATGCAAGTTCACATCAAGTCTGTGTGTGTTGTGGGTTGAAGTTGCTGAAAGCTATTGTATAGAACTCAAAATATAATTTAAACCTTGTAGAAGCTGTCATGTACGTTAGGCTATTAATTTTGTGAAAACTTGTGTCAATTGCTATGGGCTACCACAGTTTTAATGAAGAAACAATAACACTAACTTTGGTTACCATGGTAAATGTAAATGTAACGGAAAAAGTACCCCACTGTTGATGATGCAGGACACAACAAACAGCTGGTAACTGTGTGTCTTCGTCGTATTGATAAACACTAACCTTTAATATCTCTGGCAAGGCTTTTCCAGACGGGTGAGAAAGCGATACAGTGTCCGCACCAGGTCGCGTAAAACTCCACGAGAAGAGCCGCGGTGTTGTTAAACAGCGTCGAGTCTACGTTCTCCGGTGTTAAAACAATAACCTGATCCGACGCCGTGTACAGCCCGGCTTCACAGAGTACAGGACAAAGACTTACACAAGTGATAAAAGCGCACAGGAAAGAGTAAAATGAGTTTAACTTGGTTTTTGTCGTGTAACAAGACGTGGCACCGCAGCCTCGCCGCGCCATCTTCCCTTATTTCTGCTAAACTAAACTAACTCTATTAGAAAGTGATAACTGTTAGAAAGTTTACTGCGGCTGGTCACACTTTCAGCTCCCTCCCACTAAACTCTCCCTCCCTCAGCAGAACACATCAGTAGCATGATCCCTTACAACTCTCGGATATATGGTAAGTTCGAGAACGTTTGTCTTCGTTAAAACTAAACAAAAATTCTAAGTTACGTATTTTCTTTTTGTTTGTTTGTTTGCTTGCTTGTTAGACTTTAATAATTCCAAAGGGAAATTCACGTCACAGCTGAGCTCCCCATACTAAAGTAGATAAAATAAGTGACATATATAAAAACAATAATCAAAAAATTACATTCATTCCTTACAACGAGTAAACACTTGTCCATGTCTTATAACTATTAAAACTCAGCATAATAAATCTACTAAAATCTTTGGTCACTGTTGGTAAAAATGATTTCCTGTATCTTTTCTCTGTAATTGTTGAATTAATCTTGCACTAAAAGAGCTTGCACATGCTTGTACTGTATCAAAAAATGGATGATTATCGTGGTTCATCATACTGACTAATTTGTCCATTGTTTGTGTCAAGTTTATTATATATATATATATATATATATATATATATATATATATATATATATATATATATATATATATATATATATTTTTTTTTTTTTTTATTTTTTATTTTTTTTTTTTTAAAATCATATATTAAATCATTTTTTTTTTATCAGCTACGTTTGAATTGGGGCTTCACGATATTGGAAAAATTATTTATTTATTTTACGATATACATTGCAGTGTGAATGAAATTTCACCAGATGACTTGATTGTCTCTATTTGGAAAGAATTACTAATTTTAGACTGATTCAAATAATTCCGTAGAGAAGTGCATCTGCAATCATCTACAAGCATAGATAAATACAAAATTTAAAAAGATATAATTGAAAGAAACTATTTTTGTATCATTTTCCTTGTCAGGTACAAAAATTGATTAATAAAAATACACAATTTCTAATGCCTGAATGCTTTTAAAACCATTATACACAATCCAAGTTTTTTAACTACTTATGCAAATGAGCAGAAAGAACACAGCTTGTTTTAAGTTCAATCCACTTAAATTTGCAAGTTAACTTGATCCATTTGTGTTGAAACAACATGAATAAATTTTGTGGAAATCAATTCAAGCTCAAACTTTTTTTCAGCGCAGTCACAGGCCTTAAAACACATGAAAATGATCATTTAAAAAAGACTCAACATTGCATATCCTGCAAAGTGATTATTGCTAATGATCACATTGTGATATTAATTCTGAAACTATCATGCAGCCCTAGTTTGAATGATTTTCTCTAGTTTCAGATCCAGATGTTTCAATCAAAAATTCACTCTAAAAAAACAACTGTACATTATTAATTATTGATAAGTAAAAAAAAAAAAAAAAAAAAAAAAAAATATATATATATATATATATATATATATATATATAAATGTATGTATGTATGTATGTGTGTGTGTGTGTGTGTATATATATATACATATATATATATATATATATATATATACATATATATACATACATACATACATATATATATATATATTAGCCATTCTCTCATTTCTTCTTTCAAAATTAATTTTGTGGCATTTCCTTAGATTTCCTTAAGTAAATAAAGAGACTTTGTGAAGAATTTTTTTTTATAATTTGTAAAAAAATAATAATACATTTTTTACAAATTATATATATATATATATATATATATATATATATATATATATATATATATATATATATATATATATATATATATATATATATTATATTAATAAAATATTAAATATTAATATTAATAAAAATATTATAAGAGTAAGATAACAGATAAGAGTTGGATGAAAAAAAATATAAGAATATTAAGAATTTAACTTAAATAATATTTATTTGTTAAAAAGTTCATGTATTCAGTGCTCAGCATAATTGAGCACACCCCATTTTCAAAATTTATATTTTTATCAATTTCTCAGTGATTATAGGTAATGAAACAGATTTATTAAACAGATATATTTATTAAAATAATATTTTGGTCACCAAACATATTTAGAAATTGAAAGATCATACAATTAAATTTAAGCTGAATTTTGTAAAAACAAATTTCAACCTAGAAAATTTCAACTAAATTTTTTTGTTTCTCTTGATTTTTCCTTTTAAAATTTGTATTTAATATTTTTCTATGACATATACATTTGGGTGTACTATTTTTTGAACCATTATTTTATGTTATTTTGTAAAATAAGCTCCAGATTTGGCTTCAGTACTGACTAATCTATTGTATATGCACACATATAATATTGTATAGCTTCCTAATACAAATATGAATTTAAAAGAGAGATTTGTGAGGGGTGTATTTATATACACTGAGCACTGTGTCTCTGGGTTTGGTTATCAGACTTCAGTTAGTCAGTATAGTTTTGTCATTCCTCTGGGCCTGTATTGACATCTTGATCCATTCGGGCAGGATCACACTTTGCTCAAATATTGACATTTTGTGCCTCTTGTCCAAAGTTTCAGTGCACATTCCACCTACTCAAACTTTAATTCAGAGTTGATACTGAAGGAGGCCTTGGATCATTTTTACAGAGTGAAACTGATATTTTATAAATGTTATACAGAGGCTTTGGTGTAAAATTGATGTTATCTAACCCAAAACTCTGTCATTTACTCAACCTTTATTTGTTCCAAACATGTTTGACTTTTTATCTTCTGTTAAACACAAAAGAAGATATTTTAAACATCCTATTAATATTGACTTCATTTGTTTTTCCTATTACGCATGTCAGTGTTTACCAGTCTTTGAAATATCTTCTTATTTGTTTAATAAAAGAAAGACACCTATAAGCGTTTAGAAGCACTTGAGGGAGAGTACATTTTCATTTTCAGGGTGAACTATCCCTACTAAAAAAAAAAAAAAAAAACAAAAAAAAAAAAAAAAAAAAGTGTAATTTTTTCCCCTAAAATGTCCAGCCTGACCAATAAATGGTTTACTTAAAAGAGAGGTAAGATTAAAGTATAGCGAAAAGATAGAAACAGAAGAGAAAGGAAAGATATTTTATCGACTAATACACACTTATTAAAACTTTTTATGAATTTTTTTATTTAAAAAAATAATAAATAAATAAAAACACACAATTTCTAATGCCTGAATGCTTTCAAAACAATTATACACAATCCAATGTTTTTAACTACTTATGCAAATGAGCAGAAAGAACACAACTTGTTTTAAGTTCAATCCACTTAAATTTGCCAAGTTAATTGATCCAGTTGTGTTGAAACTACATGAATAAATGTGGAACTCAATTGAAGCTCAAACTTTTTTCAGCGCAGTCACAGGCCTTAAAACACATGAAAAGGATCATTTAAAAAAAGACTCAACATTGCATATCCAGCAAAGTGACTATTGCTATTGATCACATTGTGATATTAATGCTGAAACCATCGTGCAGCCCTAGTTTGAATGATTTTCTCTAGTTCCAGATCCAGATGTTTCACTTATCAACATTTTTGATGAATTTTTTTTATTTTAAACATGGTAAGTTATGCGACTCAAAACTGAATAAGACAAATGTTTTTCAACATATGCATAAAATTAGAATGTGTGCACATTTAAAAATATAGTTTGCAAATATTTGTAAATGATTTCTTCTCATCAAGAATTTCCTTTATTACTGTACTTAAAATTAAATTAAATTCTAAACCTAACTGGTCCCTATCAATATACAGTACCTGACAAAAGTCTTGTCGTCGTTCCCAGTTGTAAGACCAACAAATAATAAATTGACCTGATCATTTGGAAAAGTGGCAGAAGGTCGATTTTTCGGATGAATCATTTGTTGAACTGCATCCCAATCATCACTAATACTGCAGAAGACCTACTGGAACCTGCATGGACCCAAGATTCTCATAGAAATCAGTCAAGTTTGGTGAAAGAAAACTCATGGTTTGAGGTTACATTCAGTATGGGGGCGTGCGAGAGATCTGCTGAGTGGATGGCAACATCAACAGCCTGAGGTATCAAGACATTTGTGCTGCCCATTACATTACAAACCACAGGAGAGGGCAAATTCTTCAGCAGGATAGGGCTCCTTCTCATACTTCAGCCTCCACATCAAAGTTCCTGAAAGCAAAGAAGGTCAAGGTGCTCCAGAATTGGCCAACCCAGTCACCAATAGTCAACATTATGAGCATGTCTGGGGTAAGATGGAGGAGGCATTGAAGATGAATACAAATAATCTTGAACTCTGGGGATCCTGCAAAAACGCTTTCTTTGCCATTCTAGATGACTTTATTAATAGGTTGAGTCATTGCAGAGATGCATTGATGCAGTCCTCCAAGCTCATGGGAGTCATACACTATAATAATTCTTCTTCCACTGCACCATGACTTTATATTCTATATACTGTACATTATTTCTGTTAAGAGACAAGACTTTTGTCTAAGCAACGTCAGACCTTACTGTCCTAATAAATAATAAAAAATCAAGGCATGATTATATTTTATTTTAGTAAAACAAGCATCACTTAGAGGCCTTTGCTTTTCATTTAAGCCACTTCTGATAGCAAATGACTAAAAGTCAAGTTATTGTTTGCTGTTCCTAAAACTTGAATGCGCGACAAAACTTTTGCCAGGTCGTGTATACCACAAGGTTTTGTCTAATGAATCCACAGCAAATCGAATAACTGAGAAATGATGAGATCTTTATTTACAATTTCCAAAGGATCAGTTGAGTTAACAAATATATCTATAATATGTACATGGAAGCAGAAGGAACCACGTCCGTTTTCACAGCAATCTTCCATGAGTCCACTCACAGGAGATGTAGGCATCGACTCTATTTACATTGGGTGAAACAATTTACAAGTCTTCAAGTGCACCTCTGTCACTCACAGTACATTATTAATATAAATATTACAGACACATACTGGATGCAAAACATTTCTACGGCCTACCAATTTGAAAGTAGAAACTGATTATCAAACCATTTGTGCCACACAAATCCTAATATCCCACCCCCCCAATCCAAGGCAGAGAGTTACCGCCTATAGTTAATGAAAGTTGAAACATATTAGAAACCAGAAA